CATCCGCTCCTTTAAATATATTTGGCTCGTCCATGCTTTCATCTTCATCAATTTTGATATTCGATTTCTCATGTCTACTAAGCCCTTGTTTGGCCCCCATTTTGGAGTGTTGAAAATTTTTGGAATGTGATTGATGGGAGAATGTGTGGTAGAAAAGTAATGAAAAATTTTTGATTTGTGTGTAATATTATTTTATTTGATGAATGTGTGGTTGAAATGAAGAGAAAAAAATTAATGTAATGTAATGGAAAAAAATGGGGGCCAAACGGGGGCTAAATTGTCTTATTTGTGGTTGTAAATTTGTACGTATCTCAATATCTTATTGACTCTGTCGATCCTCCGTTAGAGTTTTCTGGTCCACGTCATTTTGCAAGAATTTTTTGTCGCTCTAACAAGTTCTTCTTTATCCCTGACACCTGTAGATATTTAGATTCTTTAGGACTTCGTTGTTGAGCTTCTGTAATTTCTTCTTGCAATTTGTGTTCTATTTTCTTTAAATCTTGCAGCTCCACTCTCGGCGGTGTCTGCCGAGAATATACTTCTTCAAGCACCTCTTCGGAGTTTGTTAATTCTTCCATTTGCGGAGTCCATCAATTAGACTTTTCATGAACCACGATATCATCTCCCGAGTCATCGTTCTAATCATTTTCGCAATCCAATTGTTCAGAAAGGACCACATCTAACGCTAATTCATCATTTAAACTTGAATTGATTTTCTTTTCTCGAGCCTGCTCAATTGTTGTTGTGGATGCTTCAGCATCTTGTTCTTCTCCACTATTGTAATTTTCTTCCTTGTTGGAGGTTGTCATATTCCATTTTGTTGGTTCCTTTTTAAACCAACAATCTCTAGTACAATGACCTCGTATTTCACATACAAAGCACGAACCATTAGATCGTTGATATCTCCGACCTCTCTTGCCGCAATCTTGTTGAGCTCTCCTTGTCGATAGCTCCATTCAATCTGTATTTTAAATTTATCTTCTTTAATTCTTTAATTTTTGTTGACGGGGTTGACCTTTTATTTTATAACTATATAGTGTTTCTTCTTCTTTCTCTCTTTTATTGAGATCCCTGACATTTGTTTGGTTAACGCTTATCGGTCGGCCAACAAATTTTCGAGATTAACAATTGAAGGTTGCTCTGGCCAACCTTGTATAGCAACAATGACTCCTCTAAATCCGGGTCTCAAATCATGTATAATTATTCTTCTC